AAGTGATAAGCTTCATGTCTTACACTTCCGGCATTCTGCTTACACTAGGGATGGAGGAGATCTGTAACTTGATACCAGGATGATTATCCTGCCCTGTCTCAGGTATTTGGGACTTTGCTGGAACTTGGTCCTTGTCCTCTGGAAGACAGGACTCTGTAGGTTCCATTTTCCTGGCCAGCTCTTTCATTGGTCTGGTATTAGTTGCAGCAAATAAAGAATCAGAGGTGGTTCCTTCTGTAGCTCTATTTTGATCTTGCAAAATATTCAGAACAGCTTTCTGCAACTCTTGTATTGGTTCTGCTCCATTTTTAATGGCCTCTTCATACAGCCCATTGACAACAAAGGCGCCTTTTCTTGTCAGTAGCTTTGCTTTTCAGATCTCGAATTTAGCAAATTTTTCAGCCTTAGGAATGTTGGACAAAATGGCAAATATTTCATTAGAAAGTACACCCCCTTCAGTGAACCTCAGACATTCTGCCAGAGAGCTGTTAATCTTATTGCACAGGTTCAACTGTGCTTTCTTTTCTTCCTCTTTTTCTGTGCTCTTCCAGAATAAAATATTCATTTGCTCTATGACTTGTCTTTTTGTTTTAATTTCCATAGGGGGCCATTTATAGATTTTCCCCTTAGATTTCTGCGATTCACCTAGCTGTTTTGTTCGATCCTCTGCTGTTGTCTTTATAGCATTGGGATTAGTATGGGTACCATTTGGGACTCCTCTTCCATTTCCAATTGTAATATTAGCTTGAGTTTTGGGAACTGTCTTGAAAAGGAAACACTTCGGGGGAAAAGTCTTTTTCAACTTGGGGTCTACAGTCTGTGCTCTTTGTTGAAAGCTGTTAGTTCTATTTGCCCTTATGCCAGGAGTGGTTGGAATGATTGAGTTAAAGTTGCTGGTTGTCAAATTAGGCCTCTGGCTTATGGATTTTGATCTTTGCAGTACACTTGTCTGGGACCTAAAACAAGGTTGTGTGGTCTTCTGATCTTGCCTGATGTTTGGAGGTTGGTTGGTAGGTCCTCCCTGTAGTGAACTGGGGTGTGGCTTGGGGTTGGCATGTTTTACTTTCTCTTCAGTATCAGTGTATGACTGCACCTTAGTTACTTTTGATAGTTCATATTTGTCCCTGTTAATCTTTACATCCTTTATGTTCTTCACCTCTGGTTTCTTTGATGCTTGAGTTCTACCAAGGGTCTGAACAAAGTAAGAGGGAACTGTCCTGGTGGGCTTTTTTGGTCTTGCAAACTCTGCTCCTTTAGAGGGTTGCTGTAACTTTACTGGGAGAGTCCTTATTTGTGTTTTTATAACAAATTGTTTATTAATGTTATCTTTCAGACTAGCACTATTCTCCAAACTTTTGCCCAAAATTTGTTTAGCTGTCAAATTACTCTTGGTTTGACTGCAAGAGTTAGTCTTTGACATGCTTGTGCTACATAATGCAGGATCTGGCTTCTTAGGTTCTGATAAGGTTTGAGGCATGTTCTCTTTGTTTAACACTATGAGAAGTCCATCCAAAGATTTTGGAAAGATCCACCTTTCAACTTGGGTGTTACCCACAGAACCTGTGCATCTTGCATTTGCCTGACCTGTTGTTATCTGCTGCATTAGGTGACCTCATGGGCTTTCTCAACAGTTTTCCTTCAGCAGATGATCCAGCTTCATGCTGCTGGTGACTTGCTGGAAGGTTTACAGTTTGGGTTAGAAGAAATACCTCTTACAGTCAGACTTCTGCCCACTAGTTTTGGTGCCTCTAACTTTGGCTTCTGGGACACTGTTATATTAGCTGGTCTGGACTGGAGTTTAATGCTGATAGGCCTTGCAGCTTTGACAGGCAAAACAGCATGGTTGGTACCATCCTTTTTGGGTTTAATGGTAGATTTAGAAGGTGATGGATTTTGGCAATTTGTCTTGGCTTTTAGGTAAGGCTTGGTGTTTTGGTTCTTCAGTTTTCCTTGACTGCTAGGTACTCCTGCATTTTTTTCTGCTGTTCTGCTGCAGTGTCCACAGTGGAGAGCCCCAGCCTCACCATGACTCCTTAGCGACAGTTTTCCTTCAAAAGCGACTTTTTCTTTTCAGTATCCCTTCCCCTCCTTGAATTTTGAATTTTGTTTAGACTATTTTGTTAACTTGGCTCATCAGTACTTCACCTCTCTCCAATCTTCTTAAAAATAAGAAAAAGAAAAGAAGTAAAAGATCTGAATGGTCCCTAGCTGCCTTATTAATCAGGTTTAAATGAAAATTGCCTAACACAGAAACCCTGCCTTGCAGTCATACCGAAGACTCCATGAAGTATTGGGCCATACATGCATTTGTATTTAAACATATGCTTATTCTTCCCCCTGCACACACTGATCACCTCTTTCTAGTATGCAGAGAACATAGCAATCACCTATGCTCCATCTTGCTGGACCTGTAAGTTAGAAAAACTCTTCCCAAAATAATTAAAGATGTAACTTGTGCCGTGGAAAAACTGAGACAGGCTGGGAGGAGTACATTATATTGAGACAGAAGAAGTACATTATGCTCCTTCTATGGGAAGGAGGACAATGTGAATAATACACAGCAGGATCTTCGTTCCTCGCAAGGAGCAAAGACAGTACTAGATTAAAAAAGAAAAAAAAAAAACCCTCTCAGAATAGTCAAATGATCGCACTGATTACGATCTGTGGTCTCTGGAAGGCATTATGAAAATGAAAGGCAATTTTCTATTAAAGCATCGTACCTTAGCTTTTGCTGAGATTTGCTGAACCTGACTTTCTCAACTCTATTTTGGTTAACAAGATTTTCCATAGAAGAGATAACCGTTTTTCTCATTCTAATCAGCTTTCTCATCAAAGTGGAACTTCAGGTTGCTTCCTATCATAACCACAGAGGCCAGAAAACATACCTCCTCTTCTTTTTTTAATTAAAAACAACTCTTTTATTTATTTATTTACTTATTTATTTGGTACAGACTCTTACTACACAGCTCAGACTCATAGTGATTTTTCTGTCTCAGCCTCTCCAGTGCTGGGATTATAGGCATGTGCCACCATGCCCTGTTTTGATGGTTGGCATGGCATGCCAGGGCTTCCTGGGCCGCCACAGCATGTGGTACTGGGTATCAAACCTGGGTCCTTGCACTTGCCAAGCAGGCATTTAGACCATCAAGCTATGTCCCGGCCCGGACATGTCTTTTCTGAGCTTTGAGTTGCTGATCGGAAATTCTTGGAGAGACGCAAAAGTGTAGATCCCTGCGTGGGAAGCTTCTCTTGAAAGTGAAAGCATCCCTGGCTTGAATTAGGTATTTGCTATCATGGAGATCTGTCTTGTTTTCTTCACAAAATACTGATATCTGAAATAACCTCCTTGTTTACCTTGAGGATTACAACCCTATGGTGATGAGTGGGGCCACTAACTAATCTATCTATCTATCTATCTATCTATCTATCTATCTATCTATCTATCTATCTATCTATCTATCTTTCTTTCTTTCTTTCTTTCTTTCTTTCTTTCTTTC